GTAAAGAAAATGGTGAATCAAATAATATTTATTGATTATATCGTTTTGGTGATAATGAAAAAAAGATAAGATAATGTCGAATTGTGCGTGCTGATAAATGTCGACATTGTCATTTATCAGGTGATCAAGTACATAGAATAAAATACTCTCCAATTAAAGCTGAAATAAAAGCTAATCTATGTATGCGTGAAATTGAATTGGCTATGAAAAAATTTTGTGTTGTATTTATTGAAGAAAATATTTCTATATCTATTTTGTTAGTTATTTATATTTAATAAAATTTGAAGATATATAGGTTGCAAATTTGAAATCAAAAAATTTTTTTTTCTTGAGAATTTATTCAAATATAAGAAAATAGGTTAGTAAAAATGATTAGAAATGTTTAATAAGATATTGATGATATCCAAGATATATATATATTAATTTTAGTTATATTGTTAAGGTGACTCGGTTGGTTTTCGAGATTTATCTAGAACTGCTCATCAGAATTATTTGGAACTATCAAGATAGATAAATTTCGATAAGTAGAGGAAAGGGTGTGGGTTTAGATAGCATTTTCCTCACACCCACACCCTCCTATTTTCAAAAATTGCGGCACTCAAGTAGAATGAAGAGAAAGATGATTAAACATATCAAATATTTGATTGCATATGTTTAATTTTTTGAGCAACTTCAATTTTTACATTAACATTTATATTGTTTCGATGGAAACAACACTAATTTAGATACAGACTGAGAGAAACAGAGTTTGTACATGTCAATATTGTTTACTGTACGCGTATGTAGGGAAGTTAGTTAGATGACATATATATGTGTATATTCATTTGTAATAATGAAACGCAATACAAATGATTAGTTCAAAGTATCATATCAGATCAACTTTATTTCTGTTTCATTCAGCTATTCTCACTTTTTTCATATAATTTCTTCTTCAATATAATGATTGAAAAACGAACTATATTTTAATCATAACCTAATAATCAAGTTTTGTGGTCTTTCATATTTTTTTATGAATGAAATATAGTATTTATCATTTTAAATCAAAATAAATTTTTATCTCGAGATAATTTCATTTTTATTATCTTTTCCATATTTCTAATCGTTAACATATTATTATTCATGCTCTCTTCTTTAACATTATTTGTTCTATTCTTGATATTTGAATAAATTTGATTGGTTTATTTGTATTGGTTAATAATATCTTTTGTCTTCGAACAAAGAGCTAACATTAAAAAAAGAACAATAGAAAAGAACATACGTTCAATTCATTTTAAAAATAGACGAGTTCAATGTAAGTTGTAATTAAATTGAAAAAACTAATTAGTTATCTAATGCATAATCATATACCTATGACTTAGCACATGGTCACTTCTTAAATAGACACTTTCTATTTCTAGTGTTTTTTACCCATTTATCATTCAGTAGGTCTAAAGTAAAAGGAAATCGTGTTCTCGTATTTATAAAAGCATTTGGAGAGAACCGAGGAGCCAATAACGTGAAGATAATAATTCTTTTTGTATTTTCAACATTTCTTCTTAGCAGACTAGGTCACGCTATTTTTCTTTTCACCAAAAAAGCTTCATTCTAAAACTTTATAGAATAGTATATTTGACTCATTCATTATTTTTATCTGTATCTTATAATACCACTCATAAACATTTGATGAAATCGATTGCACAATGTAAAATATCTTTTTTTGATTATTTTCATAAAGTGCTTCGGATGTTTAATTCGATTATAATCTAGTCAAAGATCGGTGCACATAGTTTAAGATAGTTTATTTTGTTAATAGAAACGTGAACTGCGAAAAAAAAGACTCAAGTTATTAATTAAAACAATCTTTTGATAAGATCATTATAGGATTATACACATGAAAACATTCAAAAAGGTGTCTTCCATTGTGCACTCAATTTCACCAAATGTTTATGAAACAAAAGTGATAATTCTATGTGATAAGTGAAATATCTATATTAAATTAAAGAAAAAGGATAGTTGAAAAGAGTAGGAGCCACTAAATAAGTTTCGTTAGTTTTAGTTCTAGGGGAAGTTTAAATCTTTTTAGTTAAGATTCTTGACAGCACACACTGACTTTGAGTATGATTTTGTTGATAAAATACTTGAGATAGCAATAAAGATAATGAGAGAGGATATACGAAACTAGACAGGCAGCAACAAAATCATATAAAAAGAAACAAAATAAAAATACACCCCTGGGCAAATCTTTTCCTCCTCTCTTTTTTTTCTGTATTGCATATTTAGTATTGAGTTTCTTGCCTATTGGAAGAATAAAATGAGCTCATTACTTTGTATAGTCTATAACTGATCGTCATTTGATTTGTTCAATGTTACTGCATGAATATTATCATAATTCCGACCAATACAATACGAGTTAGCTGATATTGTCGTTTATGATTTTTTATTTGTGTCTTTTATTCTGAGAATAATTCTAATATTTTTTTTTGTGACCACACGCTGCCGATAAATCACGAATATGTTCCGTTTAGTCCAATTGAGAATATGAAGTCAATAACGAAGATGGAAGTGTGAAAAATATTGAAACTTTTCTCAGAATGAAACGCGCAAATTGAAAATCGTAGATGACTATGTCAGCTGACCTAGATGTGGTATTGGTAGGGACTATAATAATATTCATGCATCAACATTGAACGAATTAAATGACGATCAATTATAGACTATACAAAGTAATGAGCTTATTTCATTCTTCCGATCGACAAGAAGCTCAATACTAAGCATGTCATGCAGAAAAAAAGAGAGGAAAAGGAAAGACTTTTGTTCAGAACTGTAAATATTCCGGCAGCAATACAAATGATAATGTTATTATGCCTTCAAATCGACACGATTATAATGATGCGAAACAGTCACAAATAATGCCTAAAAAACGGGTTGTGTTATAGCCATTATTTTGTCATTTCTTAAACGATTTTCACTTGATCAATAATAATCATTTTAATATTTGCCTGGATATATATATATATATATATATAAAACAATCTGAATTTTTATGAGGAAAGAAATTTAGAAACTGGGGGGTGTTTGAGTTTCGTAGTATTGTTTGTGGAATTTTTTTATACTTTTATTCGATATCAAATGTCCTTATATATTCTTGTACAGAATTGTACGGTGCATCTTTTAGTAAAAACTTTAGGGCACACGCTTGAGACCATACAAAGAAAAAAGAAAATTTGCCTCATTTTCTCTGAATATATTTCCTCGGATGAAAAGACATAATTTAAATAAAGGGTGGTCTATAAATAACAACACGACAATAAGAAATTTAAATATTTCTGCTTCCATTCATTCAAATAGACTTATCTTTTGATTGGTAGTAGAACTCTATTTACAATTTTTTTATTTCAAATCCTAATGTTAAGTATTTTATTTGATATCAAGAAAGCAACTCTACTAGTTGTCATTTGACAGAATGACTTTTAAATAATTTATGGAAATCTCCAAAATGATACAACATTAATGTACATATAGAAAATTTTCTTAGCTAACTGTTTTGAATGCTGGAACTCGTGCTTGATAACTAAAACGCGTATTCGAAAGCCTTTGGTTACCCAATCGACAAATTTTCAGCAAGACTCGGTGCTCCACATATGAAAATTCAAAATATTTTAATTGCCACTTTTCAAATTGACTGACTGAGGAATTGCTCTCTACATCCATATAGTATCATTCAGGAGATTTATTTGAATTTTTTCAAATCACAGCTGAAAATCATCTACCCAACATTTCATATGTATTTTTCTTACTTGACAATTAGTATAGTTGCTCTCTTGACGTTAATTAAAATACTTAGCAGTAGGATTTGCATACATTATGTGAATGGAAAAAAATCGAGTAGAGTTTTATTACCAACCAAAAAATGAACCCATTTGAATAAATATAAGTAGAGATATTTAAATTTCGAAATAGAAAAAAACAAATATTTAAGAAAAGATGTTTAAAAAACTCATTATTATCAAGAGGCGGGAAAACCGTGAAATTTTGCGACACACCGTTACTGTCCCGCAGCGTCTATCTCTGCTAGATATACTCATATATTTGACTAGGAGATTATTCATTAGTTGTAACGATTACTCTTCTTCTTCTCTGTTGTATATGACCTCTTTGATATAATGTTGACGTGAACAACTGATAAGTCACGAACCATTTCAACGAAAAAAGAAATACCCATAAATATTTTTCTTCGTAAGTCCTAGAAAGATAGATAACATTAATTAAGACTGATAAATGTAGCATTCGATAATAAAGAATTAACTTTATATTGTAGAAAGATAGAAGTTGAAACTCTATATTAGATTTTTTTTCGAATAAACATATGGATCAAACGAAACGAAAATTAACCTTTAATCAATCATCAAAAGAAGAAACAAAAAAATTACGAAGTAAGTTATTCAAATGGTAGACATTGATTTTCTTCTATTTTGGGTATTTTCATATGAATAGATGAATTCCATCGGTCCATAACTTGTCTTGAAGATTTGTCGAACGAAATTTTCTATGAAATATTTGATGATTTTATTAGTTATGATCTATACCAAGCATTTTCAAAGCTGAATTCTCGCTTTGAACAACTACTCAGTTCTTCATCAGTTCGATTCGACATTCATTCATATGTAAGCGTCAATCAATCAAATATAAGTCTTCATCCACAGCTTATTAATAAACATCAAATCGCGTCCATGCATGTGTTCATAGCAGACCTGTATAGTACGTTAGTTCCAAAATACCTGACTATCGACTCGTCGTTCGTTCGTCTCGAAACACTTGTTCTTCATAATATTCAAGCAGATGTTCTAATTTCACTTCTTATTAATTCGATTTTTCTGCCTTGTTTGTCCTCGTTGACAATCGAAATTCCACCCAATGATTTCGTCAATTTAACTCACATCTATCAAATAATATTTACTTTACGACAATTAAACTATACTAAATTGATCTTAGAGGGAGAAAAACGTTCCATATCACTTCAGATGGCCACCAATCAACAACTGACTACTATCAAATGTCTGATTCTTGATCATTTCTTCACTTTCAATGAACTTTCAACTATTATATCTTATACACCTGATCTTCGTCGTCTTCATTTTTCTCATACACATGAGAGAGATACAACCATCGAAAGTATGTCGTCAATTGCATTAACAAATTTGACATATCTTTCTCTACGAATATTTTCTCTAAATTTTCATGATTTTGAAATATTCATTGGGAAAATACATTCAAAATTAATAACTTTATCTGTTAATATTTCATCTAATGACATCACCTATCTCGATGCTTATCGATGGGAACGACTAATTTTACAACATTTATCTCAATTAGAAAGATTTTCTTTTCAATACTTGGATCATGTTGATAACGAGCATCATCGATATTTTGAAGGATTAAATCAATTTTGTTCCCCGTTTTGGATCAAACGACAATGGATATTTGATGTTAAAATCGTCGATGAAGGAATCGTTTATGTCATCCATCCATATAAGTAAGTTGAGAAAAATCGTTTCTATTCAAAGACATATTCTAATTTCTTTTAGAAAAAGATGGTATGAATATACGGACGAGAGAATGGTCAGTTCTTCTGCTGATCTTTACCAATGCCATCGACTAATTCTGAATATAACTTCTTGTGATGAATTTAATGAACTAATGAAGATCGAAATCCAACGTATTTTAACTGTAGTACAACTTTATCATTTGGAAATCTGTGACATCGAGATGGTTGATGATAAATTACTCCAAATCATCAATTTATTTCCAAATCTTATTTCAATCAAAATACATTCCTTGTCATTAACACAAGCCAATATTTCTTGCAAAACGATAGTTGATATGTCGCATTCAACCAGAAATACCGATAAAATTACTAAGTTTTACCTTGCTAATATCACGGAAATGAAAGAAGTTTATTTCTTAATGAAACTTTGTCCACATCTGACATATCTCCGAATATATTGGCTCGGCGAGATCGATGCTGAATTATTCGTCGAAC